GCAGCCAGTAAGTTGCAGAACAGTGATGGTTCTGCTGCTTCCTTCCCAACGCTCTTCCGTTTGCGTCTCACTGGCATCAGCAGGCATGGCTCGTGCAGCACCTGCTTTGCAAGCCTGCTGGATGCCTCTTCTGTTGCCACTGATTTTTGAAAACGAATCTTCTTTTCCTTTGAAAACTAAAGTGTAACTCTCCAAGGCTCACTTTTTTGAAGGATGGATTCAGACAGAAATGGTCTTTCTAAATTACAGGTTTAAAATTACCCTGCCATTATACAACTGTTTGGCACTTCTCCAGAAAACTGAAGATGTTTGGAACCTTTTCCACTGAAACGATAATTGCCCAGTGAAAACAGGATCTGGGGAAATATAAACTGACATCAAGCTACTCCTTTTTGCTATAAATTATATTGACTCTGCACGATTGCAAAATTACTTTGGATGATTTGACTGTAGAAGAATGTAGTGAAAGACTCTTATTACCACACTCACATGTGCAGGGAAATTGCAATGCATCCAAACAAATCTAAGCTTAGATGAGACTTTCCACCGACTTCAAAGAACTCTCTCCTTTTCTTCCTCAGAGTTGCGCAGGCCACTATTAAAATATCTTTAAGATGCTTGAACAACCAGGTGTTTCCCTTTGTGTGGCAGGATGGAAGTCCCTTTTTCTTCTTCAAATTTTCAATATTTGGTTTGTTTACTCCAAGCTGTCTTGAAGGCATTGAAGGACAGGAATGAAAAACTCCTAAGTCTGACTCTGAAAAAGAAATAGTTTTTAATGTGAGGTATCATTTTCCCATGAAATTGCCTGTTGCAGGATATTGTTGAGTTTACTAGTATACTAGAAATTATTTAGGAAGAAGTTTAAGATGTGGATCTGCAAATGGATGGGTGTGTGTAAACAGGTAAACAGATGTACAGAGATTTGGGAGAACATGCTTAATGCCCAATGGATGCTTTCTGGGAGCAGTGGAAGTGCCCAAGTGAATGGAAAACCCAAACTTTCCCATGCACTGTGAGCGATTTCTTTGTTTGGCTCAGTTTGCCTACCAACTTTATGCTACAGGGTGGAAAGGGTTATATTTTCCTCTGTGTAAGAGAGTAAAAGATGGATGTTAGTCAGAGAGCCTGTCGGGCTGGTAAAAGTGAACTGTGAGGAGCTGACAACGTATGAATGGAGTTACCTTGGAGATGCAACAGAAGACCAACAACTAGACGTTGAGGTTTTAATGAATGCCTGCCAAGCGGGGCAGAATGTGTGAAAACAGCGTGGCTGGACCTTGAAACAAAGGACTGAGGTGCTGGGATGCTGGAGGAACTTGGCGGAGGAGGAGGAAGAGGGATGGTGTAAGGCCACACCTGAAATCCCTCTGGGGATCTGAGCCTGGAGGAGCTTTTTGGAAACATTTTTTTCTGGGTGGCTTGTGTGCAGTAATTCAGCAAACCATTGGCAGGACTAAGAGAACAAGCAGCCTTGGGGTGTTGTGCCCTGAAAAGTGTATCAATAGCCAGCTGCAAGCATTCACAGAAAACAAAATTACTTAAATGACAAGAGTAAGGGATTTTAGGTAATGGCATATACCCTAAACAGCCCAACTTACAGAGAAAAACAAGAGCTCTTACCTGAAACTTCCAGCACTCTTACCTGAAAAGAATTCTCTGTCCAGTTCCTGCTTATAATATAAACTCCCAAATGCATCCTAGACTGACGCTAGGTAAGGTTGGGATGCCTGTGGATCAGTAAAGCAAGTTTTCCATGTGTGCATTCAGTAACAGGATGTAATTTTTAGTTCCATTAAATCAGCTGAGTTAAAGGGAAGATGACCGAGTACCTGTAGATGTGTGTAGCTGTCACATTATTTGCCAGAACATGGATTGCATCAGATGGCTCAGAGGGCTGAGTGCTCACTTCTAAACTGGAGGCTCTGCTCTAGCTTGGTTCTTTTATATCACTTTCTGCAAATGCAATGAAAGCTTGGTCTTACTGAGATCTTCAGAGTCTGGCTCTTTATTTTTCTAGTATTGCAAATAATCTGGGCTAATCCTTTCTGTGGAAGGAACATGTGTGAGGCCAGAAGAGCACTGTTTGGGGTGGATTTTTTTCAGTCCTTCAGCTCAGCAGAAAACAGTTCACCCAAGGCCCTTCTGCTAACATGGGCTCCTCAGGGCTTGGTGGGTGGGCCAGAGGCAGTATTTTATTGTGGCATTTTTGAACTGTACTTTCCCTGATGTGGTTTGCAGGTCGTAAGGCCAACACTGATCTCAAATGTGCTCAGAGAGACTAGTCTTGTCCATGATGGCATGGTGAATTCACCTCTACACAGTGAGCTTGCGATTTCTGTGTATTAAAAAATACTTAAAACATGTTTGCTTTGTAATTGATTCCTACCCCTCTACCTTGAGGGTGATTTTTCCCATAGTTGCAGTGCTGTCTTCAGGACAGCCTGTGTTTTGTGACTTTGGGAAATGTGCTGCCTGTTAGGTGGGAGTCTGCAGTATTTCGAGCCTTGCGGCCCAGGTTGTGACTGACTCCTGTCAAGAAAAATTGCTCAAAATTGAGACAACTGGAGTCCCCTTTCCTCCATCAGGTATGGAAAGGAGTAGAGTGGCTCTCCCTGGCTTCCTTCTATGTCCGATCATGCTCTGTGCTAGGTCAGCCAACCCAAGAGCTGTAACTCTTTGTTTCCAGTTGCTATGCCATAAGGTTACCATCTTGCAGGAACTTGTTAAGCATTGAAACAGTGCATGCTTGCTTTCTCATGGGCTTGGGTGGACATAAGGACTTCCATTACAGAAAGAACTCCAGAAAGCGACAACACCAAAGTGATTTCCATGGAAGCTTAGAGAAAGGATGGAAAAATATTTTACTTCATGAGAGGAAAATTAAAAATGTTTATATATATATATATATATATCTCTATATATATATCCTGTATTGTCTAAATATAGGTGCTTGCTTGTCTGTGTTGGTGGCAAGAAGAGCATTTGATGTATCGGTTTGCTTTCCTGAGTGGATGAGAGCATTCATGCCAGCAGGGACTTCAGATCCATGGGAGTAAGACCGAAGGGTGTCTGCCTGTCTGGCCATCAGTCTTGTATTTTGCTGGAGCCTTATTCAGAAACTAGGACCTGACATATACGCTCTGTTGCACAAAACCCAACACCATTAATTTTGTTGCCAAATATAACTTCCAGCAATCTCCCAAACTGTTTCTCATTAGCTGTCCTAGCTGTGTCACTGCTGCTGACGGGAACTGGCCTTCAGAACCTGCTCTGTAAACACACTTTCCAGAGCTCAGCTTGGACAGTGGTTATGGCTCTGCTGCTGCAAGTCTCCTGGGTTGTATCTGAGTCTGTCCCTAGGAAAAGATTACAAAACAGAAGGCTCGTATCGTCAGTGTTTGTTTACGGTGGTTTTGGGAAGCGCGGGAGCTGTATTATAGCTCGGATCTTTCCGTTGAAGGTTGCAGATTCTGTGTAGAGAACCTGTCTCCACTGCAGTAACACTGATCTTAATCCAGAAACAACTTGGGGTTTTTTGGCTGCACTTTGGAGAAATTCATTCAGTCTAATGGCATTTTGAAGAGGAAAAACAAAAGTATCTAAGAGCCTGAGGTTTGAGAAAGTTGGCTGTTGCACAACTGGGTGGAATTCTGAATGGAAAAATCCTGTGGATTTCTGCTATGTGGAGCTAGTTGTCCAGACCTATTGCACTACCTCACGTCAATTTAGTACTATCTAAAAACTACAGGATGGTTGCCACTAAATGCTCGTATGCAGTTGCATTTCATCGGTTCAAGATTTCCTGTAACCCAAGATAGAAATAAATGTGAATGCTGAATTGCTTGTATTAATTTCCATGAGCAAAGCTATCAGAGTTTTATTAGCTACCTATTTCACATGTGTTTTGAATAATTTTAATAATATGATAAAAAAGCCATGCTCTCATAAGCAAGAAGGTTGTAAGACAACTGCAAAATGAAAGCTGGTTTAGGGTGTGTACAGGGGATGCTCAGGCAGCTGGTGTAAAGCACAGCTGAAGGAGGCTGTAGTATTTTGTTGTAGGCATCTGTTGAGCCCATACTTATTAAAGGAGGGGAAATCTAGAAGCAGAAGAAATACAAGAAAGAAAGAATAAACTCTCATGCTATTCTGTCTCCAGGGTCCTGTCTATAATTCACCCTAAACCCGTGCTGGAGAGGTGTTGCACACATCTGAAAGGAACTTGCTAACGTTCATCATCTTGCCAGGATGTGCAGAGTCCCTGGCTGCAGCACCCACGGGCGCTGGGCTCCAGCCTGAACCCCTCAGTCCCCGCCTGTGCCTGGAGGTGGTTAATTCTGCTGTGGCCAGGCTGTTGGGGAGAGTGCCGCCTGGTGTTGCCTGTTGGGCTTTGGTCTGCACAGCTGCCTGCAGAAGATAGGGAGCTCTGTCTATGAATCTTGCCAGCACAACATTCTAAAATTCAGTTTCTCTTGGTGCTGAGGTTCATGTATGCTTTGCATTTTTCTTTCGGCTGGTGGAAAATACTGAGAGCAAGTGGGGCATCAGGTGCTGTGTACTGTTGTTGTCAGGAGAGATTTGCTTCCTGGTGATTGCTTATTTACTTATTTAAATTAAATTCAAATGGTGGGTTTAGACACTGAGACTGCCTGACCCTGTGTTTTGTGAAAGCCCATTGATGCAATAATCTGTGTTCATGAAAAGCTGAGTATTCTATCTGATAGTGTGACAAGTACAGTAAATTTTGTAAGGCGCCTGGCTGGCAGGAGATGCTCTTTTCCTTCCTGCCAGGTTGTCTGCACTGGGATCGGAGTGCTGAATCAGGGGAACATGCAGGGAGCAGCATTATTCTCCTTCTCTTCCCCATTTGGAGATGGCCATTACAGGTCCCACAGGGAGGATGACTGAAGAGCTGCTGTCAGCCAGGCCATGTTTGCATGAAGTGCTGGGTGAGGACCTCATGTAAAACCCCTAACCAGACTCGTGTCCCTTTCCAGAGACGCACTTGATGCTGCCAGCGTGCTTTATAATCGAGTTGATGAGGGCGTTCACCGACTGGTGATGTTGTCAAACAAACGCATCCAGGAACTGGAGCTGGTGATGGAGTTTGAGAAAGTGGAAGAGTGTTTTAAGGAGGTAAGGCCTGTCAGTTCCAGTGACTGCCTGCTGCCACCCTCTGACTTCGTGTCCCACAGCAGGTACTGCGCCTGTTGATCTCTTGTGTGAAGGTGTAGAATGATGCCTGTAGACCCTTAAAAAGAACAACTGAATGTAAGAATTCGAGAGATTTTTTTTTTCAGATGTGCTGAGAACCAAGCCATTGTTTTGCCTTGTATTTCCTGATGCCAGATAAAAGTCTCCTGGCTGCTCTCTAGGTGTGGATCAGTCAAACCCCATAAACATCTGTGATGTTTTTTCCAAACGTGAAGACCACAGTGTAGTGGTTCATTGGTAAGCAGTACACTTGGAGGTGGGGTGTCTTTTCACATTGGTCAGCAAAAATACCTTCCCAGCAAGACTGCTGAGGAGCCATTCTTCATGCTCCACCTTGAGAAGCAGCAGAGTGATGGCAACAAGCTGATGACGAGTCTGCGTGTCCCCTCTGGGCTGTAGATCCTGCAGGATCTGCCTACATCCTGCTGCTGAATGAGCCACACGTTGCATACCCAACACTAGCTGCCTGTCCCTGCTGTACACTCTGTTGTTTAGATTCCTGCACAGTGCTCAGGTCCCTGCTATCTGATAAGCTGCAAGTACACTCCTTTTGCCGCTGGGTGCAGCCCTATATACAGTCTTGTCCTTAGCCCGAGAGCCATGCTCAACCCCCCCACTCCCTTGCACTCCTGTGGGAGCTTAAAATTCCCCTTCATGTGGTGCACATTGAAACTCTTTACAGCTATGGGATAACCGAAGCAAACAGATACTGGTTTTCAGAAAGACCTTTGAAATCTGTAGCTGCATAGACAGAGAACTTTAAATAGTCATGAAGTAGCTCAGGCTGTAGGATCTGATCAGTTCGCTCAGTGTTGCAGATCCCAGATGCGCGCCCTAAACCTGAACTCAATCTCAAGATTATGGAATTGCATGGTCTCCTTTATCGTTGTTGACAAGTTACAGCAGGTTTTTTATATCACTTAATACACCGTGTGTGTGAAGGGTTGTGCGCTGTTTGGAGCTTACCTTAGGAATCTTCATCCTTAAAGATCAGTAATAGGACCTGTTTCACCATTGGTCTTCTAGGATTCTGGGCTCTTCTCCTCTGGAAAGAACTGGATTTGCAATGGAGGCTGTAGCCTGCCTATTGTTTTCACAGACCAAGGTGGATCCAAACGTTTTAATGACTTCCCATTTGGAGGTAGACACTTGGGCGCCATGCGCTATGTGTTCAGGACAAGAGTGATGCAAGAACCTAGTAAAGACTCCCTTAAACACACAGGCTCCTAATACCAAACAGAAATGAAAAAAAGCCGCCAGGGCAGGCTCTGCAACCTGTCCCTGCTTTAAGCTGAACATTTTTTTTTATTATTGAATTGAGCAAAACTGACTGCTCCCAGCTTACTTTACTTGCATATCACCAATGCTGGCAGCAGTTGCTCCTGCTTTTAAGCCTGCCTTAGGAGCTCCAGGCAGCAGCAGTGTGCCCCTCTGCAGTATGGGTCACAACCTGGGAACCTGCCCCCATCTCCACTTGCCGACGGGCTTGTTCCACGAGCACAGACCTTCTTTCAGTCCACAAGACTAGGATTTTGTCCTTGATTGTGGGGTTGAGTTGGGATAGGGATTTAGATGATACACGAAAACAGGATGTGTGGGCATTAGGAAACATTTAGTCTGTCTCTTCCCCCAGGTGCAGCTATGCCTGAAGCACTGCAGACAAGTGTACTAGCCTGTTTTTAAAACCCAGTGTTATCCTGCCTGGCCTCCTCTGTCTGCTTTGCTTTTAGGATGCTCTTGTTAGTTCTCTACCCATGTTTGAGGGCGTAGGCTTATAACTGCAGCACTGGTTAGGGAACCTGCAGTTACCGCACGGCTTTATGGTGAGCTGCCTTCAGAAAACCAGTAGCTGAGAGTCCCAGAGAACCGTGAAACATTGCAGATGGAGAGAATCCATCAGTATGTTCACACTGGTGTGTAGTTCTTGTTCTGCCAGTCAGAAAAGGAAAGTGATGTAGGAAATCGGGCAACAGGGAGATTTTATCCCACTTGAGGGTAACAATAATATCAGACCAGCCAGCAGGTTGCAGAGCTTGCATTAGACCATGGCTCACCTGAAACAAAGCCCAAGCAGCTACTTGCCCTGTTTATGCCTAAGGTTAGTGAGCAATAGCAGAGCTTTGCGATTACTCAGTAACCTGAAGTGGAAAAACTCCTAGCAGGAGGCTCAGACTGTAATGCCAGGATGGGGGGAGAAATGTATATGCACATTCTTTCCAGTAATGAAACGACCAGCGTTATGAGAGCAGTTCCTTGCTCTTGCCACATGAAGGCCTACCTTGGTGAGTAGCACAGGGTGACTAATAGTGGCGCTTTTCCCTTTTCTCCTAGGTCAGCAGTTGGATTGAGAATGTTGGCAGAAAACGACTAAAGGAAACAATCAACCTGGATGATTCTTTGGAGATGCTGCTTCAAGCACAAAAGCAGTTCAGGGAGTTTGATCTAGTTGCCAGTGTAAGTGTTGTCTGATTGAAGAAACCTAGTCTCCAGAGTCTGAGTTGGTAGCATGTGTGCCTTGTACGTGCTCAGCCAAAACCATGATGTTAAGATGGCACTGGTAGAGGGTTCATCACCAAGGTGTGTGTCATTCCTTCACACTGTTTAGCTTCTCTGCTCTCCTCTTGCAGACAAAGCCACTAGCTCAGCACCTTAGTAGGTGGTATTTGCCAATCTTGAGGAAAATAACTACTGTAATGGAAGATGGATTTTTTTTTTGTTTTTTTACATTACTCCCTTGATGTGCTTGTAACACTGCCTTTTTTTTTTTTTTTTTGATCCTAATTGACCTGTGGCCTTGCTGTGTAGGCATTTACAAGCTGCTGTGTGGCTAATGTAAATCGAAGAGGTCAGGGCTCCAGAATTCTACTGTAAACAAGTACACCCCTGCTCATGTGATTTGAACCTTTAAAAACAGTCTAATTAGCCCTAGCTGTTAATGACCTTGAAGACTATCTACTGTCCATGTCAAGTCCTATCCTCACAAGCAATCCCATTTTGCTTCCAGGAATATTGCAGAAGGGGGCAGGAAGCACTAAAGAAGATGGATCGATGGGAAGACTTTTCCTCTGTGGATGTACATTCTTACAGGGTAAAGCTGCAGACCTACAGAGATCAACTGGAGGAGTTCTGCACTCAACTGGATGAAAACAGGCACCGAATCTGTGAGACAGTCAGGCTGTATGAATTCTTTGACAAGGTAAGACAAGGCATCTGCTGCACAGAGTAGGGTGTAAAAAGCCTGCTCAGACTCAGTCCAGAGCTTGGTTGTTTATGAACAGTGTGAAACATAGTGTGTGCACCAACATAAAGCTGGATCTGTGACCTGCAAAAGCCCCCACGTACTCATGTGTCTGCAGTGATTTTTTCCAAGTCAGCATGTGGAAGAAGCGGGGGGTGGGTGGTCCACATGTGCTAAGAACAGAGGTCATCTGCTCTCCGAGCTGTAGCTTTCAGACCCCTCTCATGGCTGCAGTGGACAGCAGGATCATGGCAGTGCTGCCTCCAGTGATAAGGGCCAAGGGGTTGGCTGCTTGTGTCCAGTCTTGGCCACCACACCAGGGTAGATAGACTGCTTGCGTTTTGTTCATATTACATCCTTATATGCTGGTAAATTCTGCCTGTTGACGCATCAGGAGTAGCACCCTGCTATTCAGCCCTAAATATAGCCCAGCTCCTTTCTTGTGGAGGCCTGCATGCAGGGACAGAGCACCAGAACGGGGTGCTGGGAAGGGTGGCTGAGGGAACAAGGGGACTGGGTTGGCCCAGGCATCTGGGGAACGGGAGAGGATGTGTGTAGTGACTGTGCCGAGTGCCTGGCCATCTCACCTGTTTGGCTTAATGCACATGCACCCATTCAGCATATCTGCAGTTGGATTTGGTGTCTAACTTCTGAAGTTGCAGATGAATAAACAGTAGGATTTTCAAAGTGCATTTTAAAATACAGCTTTGGCAAGCACAAAAGGACAGGGAGCCTGTGCTCCATTTATTCCACACTTGTACAAACATTGGGTATTGAAATTCTCAAATTCCAGAAAGAATAGACACTAAAAGTTAAGCTGTACCAGATGTAGGTGCCACTTAGTTGCTGTCTCTGAGCTGCCTTGGCAGCCAGAAGTGCTCAGAGGAGGAGGGAGGAAATTCAGCTAAACACGAAAACATCAAGAAGCATCCTGTGTGAGGGAGGAAAGTGGAGAAGGCAGCCCAGAACTTTGCTGTCAGGACATGGGAGGACTGAGTTTGCTTGGTGGCACTCTGCAGGTCCGCTCTAGCTCATCCATGCAGTTTGCTGTGCAAGTGGGGGACCCTCTTGCTGTGGGAATGTGTCTTTCCCCCCCAGTGGAGAGAAAAGTGCCTCCTGTGCCGTACATAGGAGAACGGCAAGAACCTGTGTGCTGCTCACTCACTGAGCTCAGATGTTCAGGGGCTGCTCTGGTCCCTGAACACCCCTTGCCATCATGGGGGATCCTGGGAAGCACGTTTTTTGTCACGTTTCTTCTGATAGACTGAGGGACACAAAGCTGTCAAGCCTTGCTGGGCATACTGGCCTTCTGTGGCCAAGCCAAACATTGGGCCTGTATGAACCCACCCAGCCGAAGTTGGAGATCTCTGGAGCACAGACATGGACTGTAGCACATGATGGCTGCTCCGTTCTCCGTGCAGGCATGGAACCTACATCACAGCAGTAGCTCTTGGGCTGCCAGGGTAGTCAGACGTGACTCAACAGCCATAGGTGTTCTTCCACAGCTTCAAAGGCTTTCAAAGCCTGGGCCATTCCTAGGGGCACAAATGTTACACAAATCTCAACGATGGCCCATGTCTTTTCTTAGGGCATTATATCACTGCTCATATAGCATCTTTTTGGTGGATGACAATGGGGGGATGCAGTCCTTGGCAACAGCAGCAGCATCATCCCCCTCGGTTGTGCCTTTCACGCGGCACAGCCCCAGTGAAAACTGTACGATAGTGGCACAGTGTGTTTACACACTGCTTTGGTGTGGAGGAGAGGCATCTCACTTAGTGAGGGAGGAGAGTTTTGATCTCATTGGTTTCAGTAGAACTGTAAACAATGATGGTGGTGTAAATATAACATGTGTGTATCGTGAACAGGTGGCCAACTGAAACCAGGGGGGTGAGAGGGATAGATCCTGCAGCTGTAGGATGAGTGCAGAAATCGCTGCACAGCGAGTGCCTATTATTTTGATCTTGATCTCCAGAATGCTTTCTGCCTTCCCAAAGCAAAGTCAGTGGTGTGATCTGAGGGGTGAGGGGAAAGCAGATTTTATCTAAACTGATTTCACTCTCTTCCGATGCTGAGCTGCTTTGACCTTCCTGTAGTGACCTTGTCAGTGCCTGCCTAACCCCCTTCTCTCTTCCCTAATTTCTGAGGGGATATCAACAGCAGGAATCTGCACTAAGCAATGTCCTTGATTTATTCCTTCTTGTAAAGAGCCTTGCACTGTGCCAGACCCCAGGATTTGGGGTAGAAGCCTGAGGATGCGTAAGCAATGTACGCTATGGTAATGAGCTGGCAAGCTCAGATCTCTCCAAACATCTCAACATGTGCCAAGGGAGTGGAGCGCCCACCACGGGGATCATGGTATTCATCCCTCATGTACCTTGCTGCCTGCTAGGAGTGGGAGGCTCTGTTCTGCTGGTCCTTCTTCTGCATGTAGTGAGCAAGTGTTTCATAGGGTGCTACCTGTGGCTGCTGGACAGGCCATGGGACAGGACAGCACAACCCCATATGGTCCATCAAGACACCGTACTGTGTTTTTTACTGCTTGGCAGTTCCTGATGGCCTGTCAGAGCTCCCTGCGATGAGGCAGGCTTAGCTGGGCCAGACCACATGGAGCTTGCACATGGACTGGCAGGGTTCCCTCCCCAAAGCCATGACTGGTGCCAAGCTGGATGTTTCCATTTGTCCCCACTTCCTTTGTGGCAGGAGCTCTTGGTGCCTGACGGGGGCTGGCTGATGGCTGGGCTGAGGCAGGAGGAGCGGTGAAGGAGGCTGCCTTTTCCATCTCTGACTGCGGGCAGAGGATTGTTTTTCAGTACCACAAACTCAGTGTGGGCATACTCAGGGACCTGCCATCTTCCTGTGGCTTCAAGCCTGGTCTGGCCACTGTCCCCTGTTTACTCAGTTCCAAGACTGTGTTGGGATCTGGCGCTATACAGTACGTTGGGGGAGAACAGGGAAGCTGAGCAAGCAAGGGTGTGTATGTTGTGCCAAAAGCACTGATGTCTGCTTTGTTCTGGGATGCTTGCAAGGGCAGTCCCCGATACTTTTCTCTCCCACCACCCCTCCTGGCTTCACAGTAACACTTCCATGTGCACACCATCATTACCAGGAGGAGCTAGAGCAAGTTTCCTCTTTGCTTGCTTTGTTAACCTATACACTTTTCCCTTTCTCAAGCTTTTTTTGGGTGAAATTATTTCCCAGATGAGTCTTATATCCAAGGTCTCTGCATACTCTTGACTTTACCATAAGCAAAGTACCCAGCTGCCTGGACCGCAAGCTTGAAGTGTCCTGTGTGAGAGCTGTGTGCCCTTTCAGGGCTGCAGCTACCTAACTGGCAGTGGCCCATGTAAGGAGCCAGAGCACGCAGCATGGTCTCTGCCAGCCCTGGGATGACAACCCGTCCTGCAGCAGGTCGATAGCAAAAGGCACATGATACTCTGGAAGAAAGTACTGGCCCAACCAGAAAAAGCAGAGTCCCCATCACACCCGCTCAGCACCTGCATACCCTGCAGCCGTGCAGTGGTGTGCAGGTGCCCGGAGCCTCACAGCTGAACTGCCTGTATCATTACAGGAGAGCTTGAGGCAGCCCCAGGGGCTTTTGCCTACTTGTCAGGATGTTGTGCAAGATGCTGCCTCTTCTGGTGCTCAGGGAAAGTATGGGCATTGCTCCACCGTGGCCTTGGGAGCCTCTTGCAGTTTCAGCCCTTGCCTTGCATTTGCTTTTTGAGGGAAGCCATTCAGAGGCCTGGTGCTCGGGATTGTTAGGGTGAGGGTGGTTGAGAAATAGTAGCTTTTTTCTTGTTGGGATTTCTTGGGGCTCAGCTCCATGAGCCGTTCCTTCAGTGGCATTTGCTGTCTGCCACCCTTGGGTCCCTTCCCTCTGAGAACCCATGGCCATCAGCCTGTGCTCCTTCTGGTTCTTCAGCAGCTATCTCCCGCTTCCTTCTGCTGCACGCAAGGAGCTGCTGCTTCTGAGCTCTGCTTGGAGTGGGCAGAGTCTTGCCCAACCCCTCTCCATCTGTGTTGACATCTCTTGCCGAGTGGGTTACCTGCGCTCACGTGTGAACCTGCCCCCACAGCCGGTTCTCCTCCACTCTCTTCCTCCTCTGGCTCTCCTCCTCAGCCACTTTGTTCTTTGTGGCTTAGAAAACAAAGCCTTTGGCAAGTGAAGGAGGTGCCTGCCCTTCCTGGGGGAGGGCCAGCTGGCCTGCATTTGATTATGGCAGCGCCTCCTCATCCTTCCCCATTGTCCTTGCTGCTGTAGGAATGCCAGCCTTTTTGCGCTCCATCCCGTGAAACAAGTGTTGCTGCCTCTGGGGCCCAAAGAGGGGCTGGGGCCCTTCTTCCCACCCCTCCAGGCCCACTGGCAGGAGAGCCTCTCTGCACATCTCCATGCACCTTCCCTCCGAGTGGCATACACCCCATCCTGACTCCGGCAGCAGACAGACGCAGCAAACCCTCTTGTAAGTACCAAGTGTCCGGCGCCCTGGCTGACGTGTGAGTTGTATTGAGATTGTTCGGAAACAATGTAGAGAAGGCTTTTCACTCGGTTGCTTGTGCGCGTCTGTACGCATCCAGCATGAATCAGAGTGCTTTGTGTAGGTCTTTTGTGTGTTCAGACAGAGCCCTGTGGGCTGTGTGCATCTTTGCATGGTCCCTCCGAATGCCAGGGTTGCACAGCCTGGGATACGGCAGCGCCTGTCCCTCTTTCTCTTTATTAAAGGTTCTTGCATGATCATTTCAGTGGGCATAATTTGACTGCAGCTAGAAGTTGTTGCTTGGATCGCGTGCCCGCAGACTAGCTGATGTACACACAGGGCAGGTGGTACCTTTTGATCTGCCTGGACTTCCCTTAAAGGTTGTGGACAGCATGAGAGAGGGCTGTTCTCCTCAACTGCTCCAAGGTTTGCTGGGCTCCAGTCCCATGCGTGACTGAGACCTGCTGGAGCAGCATTCCC